GTGTGTGTGTGTGTGTGTGTGTGCGTGTGTGTGGGGGGGAGGGGCATTCACCAGGGGTAGGAGGTTGTGTTATACTAGAGTTTGGGAGCAAATCTAGCCAAATATTAAATTTCAGAGGCTTGGAATTTTTAATTTCTTGCTCAAAATTACACTGCCCCTGGGAGCAACTATGGTTGTAAGTTTCTTCTTGCTGGTTTGTTGTTTATACATTATTTAGTTTTGAAGACCTTCTATCTCGAAATTTAAAATGACCGTTTGATGTAAAGATTCCTGGCATCACAGTTTTGTTTATTATTAAAGATGGTGTCTACTCTCAACTAATTAATTACACTTTTCTACTGATTACAGATGAAAGTGGATTAGATTACAGTATGGAGAATATGCATACTGATGTTACAGTGTAAAGGGCTAATACTGTAGCAACTTTCCCAGAAAAATTGCATCAGCACCAAAATATGCATACTTTGTTTATTAATCTTAGCAGGTAGGTTATTAACTTTCAGCTGAGAAAATGTGAGTTTAATTTTAAAACAGTACCAACACTCATGAGATGAGGTTATATACTTTGGTTATCCATGTATGCCTCCAGATTCCACTCTCTATTGAAAGGAGAGTGGAGCTTGAGGTGATCTTGAATGAGAGGGCCACTATGCAGATGTAAATTACCCAAACTAGTCTCACCTGTAAAGCCAGTTTTTTCAGCAGATGTTGGCTCAACCTGTTGTTCAGTCCCAGTTTCCAGAGGCTCACGAGTCAAGATAAGGGATGTTTCTGCTAATGAGAAGGCTGGTAAAACATTTTGTGCTACACCTAAGGTCTGTTCAGCTAACGACTTGTTTGTGGAAGCCATTTCTAAGATGCTTTGATCGTTTGAGGTTTGAGATGAAGTGAAGGGGCCCTGATGAATGCCACTTGTACTTTTGAGCATCAAGTAAAGTGACTGAATTAACCTGAATTGACAAAAATCAACTTATGTTGAATTGCATTTCTTGCATCAATGTTTTTTTTTAAAGGGAGAACAATAAAAGATAATTTAGACCTTTTGGTATGAGTGAGGTATTGTTGAAGCTGTCCCCTCTCCTCCAGTAACCATTGTAGAGCACTCTGAGCTTGTCTAAACCGGGTGTAAAGAGTTGCCTTCCAACTGGACAATTCATCAGACATTCTGAAAATAAAAGATTTACAGGGATCAATGCATGTCTCTTGTTACAGAATAACTTTAAAATGTCTGAAGGGTATCTTGTAATAGGTTGGCATCCCAAAGAGAGTGCCAATACTCCTAGTCAGTTCATGTAACAGAAACTGGGATATGCCACTGCTCTCATATCTGTCACGTCTCTAAAACCTATATGCAACTGTAAGAATGTTAGGTCAATGCCAGTTTGGAAACCTTCTTCACCTGCTTCCCAGGAATTTTGTCCTCCAGACATCACACTCAATCTCTAATCTGTCAGATTCCTCTGAGTATTCCTCACATATCTTTTTCCAGTGATTGAGCTCCACAGTTTGCTGCACATTTCTGTTCACTAAGTCTTCCAACCTACACAACATCAAAACAAACAGGACTCATCAGGCAAGTTAGACATAATAATAATAATAATAATAATAATAATAATAATAATAATAATAATAATAATAATAATAATAATAATAATAATAATAATAATAACTTTTATTTCTATAGCTCTCATATCCTGAACTCGTGGCACTTTACAACTCTGTGCAGGGGACTTTTACCAGACTGCTAAGCTGTTTACAATCAAATAAAGGCAAATCTAACAGATGCCCCCTCCCCCCAGTTCCCAGTAAACAGACCAGACCATATCACAATAATCTTGGGAGTGGGTTTTTAATGTCCCCTGCCTAACCAAATTAGCAAATTAATAGATGCAGGAGACGGGACCTACAGTTTATTCGTCCTTATCCGAGAAGACTAGAATGTCTATCCATTTCTTGATGTTATAGAAAGGTAGCACATTCTCAGTTATTTTAAGACCCTGAGTGTTGGTCCGGCCGGGGCTCGAACCTCCCGCACAAAACAGTGCGGCGCTTCACCAATTTAGCTAACCGGGAGGCGGCAACATGACTTCTTGCATGAAGCAATCAGACTTTTTATAGAGGACAGGTCATAACAGAAAAACGAAAACAAAAAAGAAAGGGTTTAACGCTTGGGTTTGCTCTTTCTTTTGCCTTGACTAAATAATTAAATTCCATGTGCAACAATAAGTAATCAACAGCTTCACCAAATATAACAATGGGTGACATTACGACCTTTGCAGGGTGAAGTTTCCCAGCCTGGGGAAAATGTGACACCCAGCAACATTGCAATGGGGAAATATCATTTTCATGCAGAATCTAGACATACTGGTGGTACAACTCTTCCACCCTTTCCACAAATTCCTGAGATTAAATAACCTTCACCCAAGAAATTTCAATAATCTTTAAATACAGTGGAATCCCGATTTCTTGAGCCTCCGGGGGAAACGCAAATTGGTTCGAGACACCGGGGGTGAAATTACAAGTGAAGCAAATCCAAGGGAAACAAGGTTTGGTTCGAGATATCGGGAGGCTCGAGAAACCGAGGGTTCGAGAAATCGGGATTCCACTGTAGTTGACCTGACAGTTTTAACTACCTTTCACCAACATCTTCTCCCACCGATACCACTAGCAACCTCTTAATTTCCACATTAACTTGAAAAAGGATAACTTAGTTATTAGTAGCGAACCACATTAAGTGTTTTGCTGAACCAAGAACTCTTCACACAAAATTGAACATGATGTAAGGTTACTTGTTGACTAAATGTACTTTTTTCCCCCAAAGATTGACCAGTATACAATTTCTCCTTTAAATATCAACCCTAAATCAAACAATGAGGTCTTGAGAGTAAAGAAAACTATCACCAACTTAAGAAGCTGTTGATTGTTAAACCAATTCTCCTTGTCACCACTATAGGAAATGTATAGAGAACAGTATGGAGAATATGCATAGCATTGCTAGGCAGAGATAAGGGTTTACAGAGGCCCTCTGATGATGACTCTGAGTTTAATGCACTATAATCAATTTGATCAAAAGTGAGTCAGGGAACTGGGTCATGCAGGTCAGTGAAGGAAAAACTTAGCACCTCTCCATAAAAATGTCATCGAAAGATCAACTGGCCCTTTCAAACTATTGTTTTCGCCGAGGTCTCTATCTTAAGCCATACTTTTTAGGGCTTTACTGTCCATAAGTTCCTATCAGAAATATATTAAGTATCTTCATTAATAGGAACTTGGAAAAAGAAGAGAGAGACCAAATAGATTAGGTCAAACATTTTCTGTAATTACTTTTTGCCACAAGTTTTCAAGGAAGTGTCTAAATATATTGAGCATAATTATGTTATTACCAAACCTTTGTCTGGACACCAAGCTGCACAGAGAGTTTTGTCTTCTCTTCAACAAGCTTTGCATTCTGTTCCTGAAGATCACTGATGACTTTCTGACTGTCTACAAACTCAGCTTTTTGTTCCACCACTGTGGATTTCAAAAGACCATCTCCAAAACTCAGATCCACCGCAGGAGGAGCCAAAGACACGAGCTGAGCAGTAGCACTGCATGATAACCTTGACTCATTGTTTGATTGGAGAAGCTCTGGTCCTTGGAGTAAGAGACACTTGTAGAGTTCTGTCTTAGAAATGACTGAATTTAAGGACGTCCACTTCTAATTGTACACTTTCTGTTCTGGAGACATCTTTTCTTCTAGCTGATCTGTAATTGAGGGAACTCAACTAAATTTGGGTGACCAGTTGATGTTCCTATTTCCTTCATTTTGAAAATTTCATTTTCATCTCTTATTTTATTCCTGAGCTATTTACGAGCATACCAGCTGATATTTGAGCAGATCTATTTTCAATTCTCTTTCCAGCACTTTTCCTTTTGATAGTTGGAGACAATAAAATGTCGTTTGCTTTTTGTGTCAAGTCACTTTCTTCATTATCCTCATAGAGACTGTCATTGCTAGAATTGCTTGATGAAAATTCAATTCCATCTCCACTGGATCTTGGTAACTTACTATATATAAATCCACTGAAAATGAACAAATGAAATCTGATGATTACCTTACAATATTCAGGGGTTTCATTAAGGGCCACACACTGGGTGAATATTGATCAGCTCTGGACAGAACTTTGTCCACCTGCTTTATACATGCATACATAGGTTAGTTGACCACTCCCCATGGGGGCTTTTCAGGGCCAATTCCCACCCATCCCAGGACATCCACGACACAGTAATCTCGTGCGTGGGAAATGAACGTCTCCTACCCCTAACCCTGCAGGAGACGGGGCCTACAGTTTATTCGTCCTTATCCGAGAAGACTAGAATATCTATCCATTTCTTGATTATAGAAAAGCAGCAATTTCTCCTTACTTATTTTAAGACCATGAGTATTGGTCCGGCCGGGGCTCGAACCCTCGACCTCCCGCGCAACACAATCCGGTGCTCTAACCTATTGAGCTAACTGGGAGGCGGTTTATCACATTTCATACAGTACTGTCCCTGTGTTTTTTAAAGAAAACCGTCCAACAGTCTTAAAAAAAAGAGTCTCCCAGTTTCAAATTCCAAATTTTTACAAAGGTGCATGTTCCCAACCCCCCCCCAGCTTTGCAAGGCCTCTTGGACCATG